GGCAGCCTGATTAATTTTGGGTTAAAATCTGTTCATATTAACTCTCTAAATAGCATAATAATTAATATTTTTTGGGTTCTAATCACATTTCAATGAAACTTGGTACATTGTGCAGACCTTATTAGTTTTACACTTAAATCTGTTCATATCAGTTACCTGATTTACATAATTAATTTTCAGCTATTCCATCAATATCTCAAGTACAAGTAATTTTGAATTAATTGTTAATATGTCTTCAATACTCTCAGCACACGGGAGTTCTTTCTAAGCTTTCTTTGATGTACTCTTTCTGTTGGTATAGTGAGCATAACAGTAAAACGTCAAACTTGCATGTTTCAATTGTAATACTGTATTTTCTCTATTAGAAATGCATCCAATAAAAGCACACATAAACCAACAATTGCATGCTGCTTTATTAAAATGTTACTAAATTATTAAATATTGTACAAAAGATACAGCTATCATACCTAGTTATATACCTAGTTTCCATATTATTGATAAATACCTTGTGTGAAATGACCTTTCCCAGTACCTAGTATGTTATGTAATAGATATTAATATATTTATTCCTTCAGATCACATATCCACAAGACATTGATACAGGCTATGAGTCGTTTAGACATATACACAGTTCCAAACGAGATCGTGATAAAAAACGATATTTTAATCAAAAAGAGGTGAGACTATGTTTATATATTATTTTCACTCAGTGCATGCTCCTTAAAGCAATATTAACATTATTGCCCACAATGCATTGCAATATATGTAAAACAAAGAAAGATGCTGCATAAGTTTTGTCACATGTGTGAAAGATCACCTCTAAATAAACCTTAAAATTTCTTTCTCATGATTACTCGCATACATTAGTTACCTTTGAAATGTTTGTCTCATGAATTCTGAGGATCAATGTTGTCTTCCATGCATATCACTATATTTAGTGATATTTATGGACATGGTTTGGTTACTTTGTTGCAGACCCTCTAGAATTGTTTGCAATAGCGCCACCAAGTGGTCAGTCTTGAATTTAAATGCACACATTGGTATCCTTGTGGAGGAACAACGCTAAGGTGTGCACCACTCTACCATGTATTTCTATGGGCTCTGCGCAAGCTGTTGTGGAACACTGGTTGAAGAGTCAGTGAAAACAGCTAAAGTCAATAAACAGCAAATAGCAAACTCAACTTTGAAGTAATCCTGAACAACCAAATTTATATATGTTACACATGTAGGGATAATATATCACACTGTTCAGGAGAGTCTCGACAACTAGACCAAAGTATAGTTTTCTGAGAGTTTTCGGTCTTTGTTTTCATCCATCCTCGCCAGCTAAGGACCATTTATTCGGCCGAAGCCTCAACATTAACCCTTGGCAGATTTCATCTTGATTTACTGTATGTCGCACGCCTTCAAACAATTCACTTGGGCTCATTTGCATCACCCAATCAGAACTCACAATAGAAACGACACATACTTGGTAAAATTAAAATAGTGGAATATAGAAATGAACGTGTTGCTAGCTCTTTGCTCTGTGAACGTGCTTACTGACCATTAAAAGAAAGCGCTTTGTGTTGTATCTGAGGGAAATGATGTGTTTGTTGCAACGAAGACCAGGTCGGGCAAGTCAACATGTTATCAGTTTCGACTGTCAGTTTACTAAAATACGATTTGCAAAAATCTTTAGACATCAGTCTTCATTCATTTACCCACAATGAATTTTCAACGCAGGTATAACCAAATTTGGAAACTGTCAACGCAAATAGTCCTTCTGTTCTTCACTTGCAGTGAATCAGTGCAAAGCCTTCACGCCGCCATTGTTTTATTCTGTGATGACCCCAGGCTTCACATTTATGATACAGCAATGCTGAGTGGTGGCGCCACTCCTTGGCGTGTCCAATCAAATGACTCAATTTAACTGCAGTGAAATACAGCTTTTCCTAACACGATCACGCACAGGTTTGTGGGCCGGTTATGAATGGCCGGTTTTAGCGAAACCGTGCGATTCGGGCGTTAGTTTTCACCGTGATGGTTGACAGGTCTGCCACCTGGGATGGTTAGAATAATAGGTTGTCATTAGCGATAGCATGAAACACATCATCTGAGAATTGAATGTATTTCAATGTATTTGTGTTCGTTTGTAATTGTAGGAATCTAGACGAAGAGATCGAATTACAGGATTAGACACCGTCAGGTACGAATTAGTAAGTAAACATGAAATGCATATAGACGGCGCACCCATTACAATGATTAATGTTATATTGGATTGTGACAAAACTGTTACTCCATGGTGTGACGTTCCAGAACAAGTATAAAAGATGATTTTTAAACATTTAAATTTTTAAAAATATAATTTTAGCAAAAGAATCGTGTAATTTCATGATCAATGATTGGCATGTTTAAGAAATTTTTCCATGACAAAGTGTTGTTAAATAAATTCTCTTTTTAAATAAAATAAAACTTAGATATTTGTGATTTGCCAGCAATATAATATTATTTTCTTGTTTTTGCAAAATGTTGAATTTATAATTCTTTTGATTCAAATGTTGACCTATTAAAAAAGATTTTTTTTATCTTTTGTGGCAAAAAGTTGAATAACTGAACGATTAATTTTGTATGTCGCCTATCATTCAGTAACTGATTTTACAAGGTCAGGAAATAATTTCTGTGATGGAATTGAAATTCAAAATGATACATGTACATGAATTGTTTTTCTTGATCCCTGCTTAAGCAGCATCGTCAAACAAAAAATATATTTTTGTTGTTATTTTAGCATAAAAACAACATTTTACGGCGTAAATAAAATCTGGTGACAGTTTATCATTATCGTATTTACTCTATTAGTGCATTACTTACATAAATGACATGGTGTGTTTAAACATAAATTGAATGATGCAGCATATACTTAATGCAATTGATTGTTTACATGCACTTTAAATAGAGTAAATACGGTATTTTGTGGAATTACTACTTGTAGTATCAACTTCAGATGGTGTTACCGAAAACGCATTATAATTTTCCGAATTACTGTGAACAAAAAAAGCAACCCAACTAAAAGTATTGCAGTATATCTCACAAAATAGCAATATTTTTTATTTCAAATTTAACAGTTTGTATTGGTAAGCTAATCAGATCTTGCCTTGCAATACTGCTGGACAAGTTGATTTTTTGTTCACAGTAACCTTTTGTATACAAAGGTTAACTTTTGTCACCACATATCAGAAACATTTTGAGCATAATCTGTAGCCAATTTAAAATTGTGTCCGTTTGGTCCAAAATAAACAAATAAATTATAGAAAAATCATTAAAATGTGCAAAATATGGCACTAAAATTTGGACGGGAAAAATTATGACATTCAAATGTTATATCATTACAAACTGGTATATTGAGTCAACAGTGAACATGATAATATCTGATAAGAATAACCTGCAAGAATTGACCATAATTTGAATTGCAAATTTTGAATTTTGGTATTTATTATATTACTCTATATTTGCTGCCATCACTGCCACACTTTTCAGTAATAGCTGTTTTTATTTACTATAAATCTAAAAAAAAAATCCAATGGAATTATAAATTCATTATTTTTTATCATCATTATTTTTTTTTTCAATTTTAGCTTGTAGAGTTTATTGCTATTTGCTGAAATATTTATTTTCATCGATTTATAACTTATTAAATTTTTATGCATTTTTGTCAAGAACTTTTATTTATATTACACCTTTTACCTAATTTTCATCTTGTATAGTAATATTGATGTCTAAATTAGATGAATTGATGAAATAGAATTACTTACGGTATAAGCCACAGAAAAAAAATTTCCGATCAAGTTGTTTTGCAAAATCAATGAGGGTGCATCTATACTTCAAAGAAAACCATGCAAGTGTGCAACATATCATTTCTTGAGAGAGGTGTTAATTTCAATCAAGTGCTATAATTTTAATTCAAACGTGCATTATAGCGTTAAAGTCTTAACTAATTTCAAGTTTTCAAAATACAAAATGTAGTAACCATGGTTACAAGAATAGGATTTTAACTACTGCACATAAATTTGAAATTTTACTGCAATTAAGGTTTACTTAAAGCGCGGTAGTTGTCGCATGTTCGACATTGATTTTCCCACAATCCAATGCACTCTTCAAATGGAAATCACAAGTATGAGGTTTGACCTGGGTGCGACCTGCACTGATTACCGCCGGTGACTCCTTCGATACCTTCCAATCACATGAAAATTACCTAATTAAAGCTTGGAAACGTGTCAGTTCGTACTCCTTGATCTGCGCAACAGTCAAAGTCGCCATCTTTGTTTATATGAGTCCCATATATCTCGCACATGCGCAGCGCGACGACTACCGCACTTTAATCCTTCTAACATGATATATCAAATATGTAAAAATAAAGAAAATGGCGATATTTTTACGTTCGTGTAGCGTTCTACCGTGAAACCAGCACCTGAATCATATTTTTATTATTTTAAGATAATTATGACATTTGTGCTTACAAGCTACTAACCATTGTTAATTTTATCCTATAGTTTTTTAACATTTTTAATCACAATTTGTTTATATCGCTAATACTTTTCTTGCAATGACATGCATTTTAGCTGTACTAATTTAATAACAAATTGACATGATTGATAACACTACTATTCATTGCAGACTTTTATTTTTTGTAATTTTATCATCAAATTCTTTCATTGATCTTGTGTTTTGTTGTTGGTGATCTTTAAAAAATGTGAGTAACAAACAACATTTTAAACATCTCTAGTTGTTGACATATCACTGCCTTTGCTTTTTAAAATAAATTCAATTACATATATCTAGTAGCTGTTTGTCTTACATTCCCTTTTAGGATGCAGTCCAAAAATAGGGACTTGTGCGTTGTCTTTCATGTGTGTATGTTTTCCATCTGTATCTCGGATATTCCTAAACAAAATGTATTCATTTGTGTTAAAAAATAATCTAAATCAAGAAATTCTGTTATTCCAGAACTGAATCTTGGTCATGTATGGTCAGATTTGATTAAAACGTGGTATATCCATTGAAAATAATGGGACTTTGATTTTGTATTTCAGATCAGATTCAAAATGGCCAATTGACAGACATGTTATATTTTGCAGTTCCAGGGCCATGTCTCTGACATGCCTTGACCTATTACAATCAAACTTTACAACTACATTGTACACCATGTCACACTATTGACATGCATTTGTTTCAAGTTCTGATTCGATATGATCAACTCATTTCAGTTTCGTTTGATAATGAACATTGGGGACCGTTTCATATCATGACGTGTTGTTGGATACTGGGTAGCGAGTCTTGTGTATAAAATGAATAACTTTTGATGTGATGTGGTTATCCATGCTTTGCTTGTGAAAATACAGCCATAAGATACAAGTATTACATTATTTATGAGATTAACTTTCATACTCGACAAAGTTAATTTGGATCTCGTACACACAAGTGAACAGATTCTACAGAGTAGGTTTTTGAACCAAAGTTGTTTATTGGCACACTTCTTTGAAAAACAACATGCTATAAAACAAACTGCTGTTGAAACACAACTGTGCATGCAACTTGCACTCATTCAAATGTTACATGCTTTATATAAAGAATTTAACATCATTCAAAAAGGAGAGTGGACACAGAGAATTGGACGGATTGTGTCCATCTACTCCATAACGTGCATCAGACAGAAAGTGGTGAATGGAAACGTATGTATGGTTGAGATATCTTGTTTGTGGTAAAAATTCATGTTTCATGCTATTCTAAACAGAGCAAGAAATTGCATGATATGTACATTGTGGTTCGTGCGAGATAAAGAATTAAATGTTTCACAGCGGATGCAAACACGATTTGTGTGGGTAACTTGCAACTTTCATGCGAAAGTCTATCAATTTTCAGTTGAAACAACTGCAAATAAAATTCAATTGAATAATTTACAACTTCCTTTGTATAAGTATCACAACAATGTTGCAATATCAAAACAAAATTGACACCGTCTGCCCATGGACTTATCACTGACCAGGAGATGTGGGATTGATAGTGCTAATAGGAAAGTCCCTTACTATATTGCAGTGTTCATAGGGACTTTCCTAATCAATTTGCTAATTTCCCCCGTACATATCTTGTTTGCACCTGCTGTTTAAAAACAAATGCCCATATATAACTAACATCTCAGTAGCTTAACCCTTTGAGCACATTTTTTTTCGCCCCAAATTTTGGTAAACATTTCACGCATATTTATTTATTTGTCTTGATAAATGAAAACAAAAATGTAAAAAAAAATTATTTGGGGTTTGTTTTGTGATACCAGACAAAAGTGGACTTAGGTGTTCAAAGAGTTAATAGTCTCAGGAAAGATTTGTTCACACAGCAAGCACAATATCAGGCCAACACTTAGAAGCCTTTCACACTTCAAAAACCACTCAGCGTTGCTAGCTATGTTAGCAACGTAAAAACACATATATGTAATCCATATAAATTTTAAAAGCAGACGTAATTATTAAAATACAAATGCAAGGCACTTCCAGTCTGTATATTTTAATATAATATTTACAAATATGTCAATTTATAACACAACACATGCAATCATTGTAATTCCCTGAAAATTTAATACTCATAATATGTCTGTACATAAAAGCTAAAATGTATGGCACACGTATTTTTATGATGGGGGAAAAAATAGAGAGAATGTAGCATATATAGGAAGTTGTAGTCCATCCAATGTCAAGATTTCACTTCGACTTGTTTTGTTTCCTAGTCCAAATCGCTTTGTTAATGAGCCAGTTGTGAATGTGTAGATTTGCCCCTTGATGATGCACTGCACACGAATGCTGTAGCGGACTTCACGATCTTGTCTGAGTGAGAAAGTCTGGCGTTCACAGGCACGAAATGACAAAGTTGGATCATTGGGTCTAAGTCTCTGCAAGGTAATTTAATTTAATGTTCATTATATCCTTTTTTTTTTTTAACACAAACAGAAAGAGAGAGAGAGCAAGAGAGAATCTCTGGAAATTTGATAATTTTAGTTCACAGAATCTCTGGTTTACTAATGTGCACTGAAGGACAAGAACGGCACATGTACAGATCCAGTTTTTTTGTTATAGTCCTGATCAGATAAGACAGCATTCTCTTCAACTTTGGCTGTGTGTGATGCGGGCAGAAGAATATACTCTAACTAATACTACTGAGTGAGCAATCATGCTGCGAGAGAGGATATTTAGCACATATACACTGGTATATACCGGTATTACCAGAATATCAAGAACATTTGGACTATTAGAAGCCATACATCAACAACAAATCTTATTATGGTAGTCTTTGCACTGTATTAATAACCTAACATTGTCTTCTGTTTAAGGGGGCATGATGGTATATGACAAAATACAAACTATTGTTGATGCAACACATTAACTAGAGCTGTAATTGTATACAATTTGTAGAGTGAATTCTATCCTACCTGCATATAGAATTGATATGTATCTGCTCCAGTGCCAACTCTACATGCTTTTAACTCAAAATGAAATCCATGCACAGAGAGGACATCAGCATGGTACTGTGGTTCCTGTCAAGTAAGAGACAAATAAGAGAATTTTTAATTTATTGTAATTTGTGCACATTCATTTAAAGTTTGTTATATTACCGGTACTATAAATCGCTGTAAAAATAACTGAACAGTACAGTTTAGTTACATACCTGATCAATCACAAATCCGGCTCTGATCGCGTCCTTGTCGAATTTCATCAACAGTGGCATGTCACCACCACCTTGTAGCTGTTATGATTAGAATGAATGGTTATGAAACATTAGTCATTGAAGCTTATTAACAAGAATATTCTTGGGTGCGATATCAGTGTTCATAAATCATCATTTCTACCAGTCTTACTACTCTATTTCAATGTGTTTTTTTGTTTTTATTCTAAAATTCTGACAAATAAACTTTTTAAAAATTACGTGGACAGGAAAATGTACCTGTTTAAATAATCAAAAATTATTTATATACTCACCGCTTGGTAATGCATATTTAAGGTTCGTAACACCCATTGTTGGGGTATAATGTTCATTTTCAACATATCTTCCAATGGTCTGGCTGCAAATCAGAGAACATTAGTATGACATTAATTTCTACAAACAGTGTAAGGATGAGCGTATTACCGCTGTACCAGTATATTAGCTTTTTATTTCAATATTTTTGTGCCAAGGAAAAAGTTCCCATTGACAGACATTGAATTGGTGACACACTTACACAGGATCAACAGTATTTTTGAGTTCAACCCCTAGGTAAGATGTAAATACATTCTGTCAATCTGATTAAAATCTGATGTAAGTATAGGTAGGCTCCTATTTTTGTTTATTTAATTTTTACATTTTTTTTTTATTAGTTTTGTTTATTTATGAATATTTTTCGCGTAGTTATGGTGACTAATAGCGATCGAGATACAATATACAAAAAACTTAATAACGGCAAGTAAAACCAATAAAAAATGTATAAATTAAAAAATATAAAAATACTAAACCATCACATTTACTAGCAAGACTGACTTACTTTCTAGTACTCCATGTAGTCTTAGTGTCATAAACAAACATGCATATTGTTGGCCTTCTTCTCGTTCTATGTAAGCACTCGTCCTTGGCAAACTGTAACACAAATATATGAAAATAATAGCAACAATTGTCTACAGGGTCTGAACTTTAATTCCATATATCATAATGAAATTTCCCATAAAAAGTGTTGCAGAGTGAGATTTTTTTTAATGTTTTTGTTGCTGATAAGATAGTATACAGGTTTTATACTACAACATAAACTCCCCATACACAACAAGGTAAGGAATTAACAAGCTATTTTACACAGAGCCAATGAGTCAAGAACCCTTAATTTCTTTATTTTTTAAATACAGTAGTGAATAAACAACATCGTCACAGATGATGAAAGTCTTGAAAATGAAGCTGATTCAACTGACTGAATAGTGGCAGTATTGGTAAGGTTATACCCAGCTGAGTACTTGTTATAAATGAGTAATTTTTAAAACCATTGGTTTTCTCAAAAATTCAAATGATAAATCTAATGCTTGGTAATTCTGGTATCAAAGTTAATAAAACAATAATAATAACTTATTATTATTCAACAAGTCCATCTGAGGGTACTGCATGGTAAAGACAAAACATAAAATACATTGCACAGATAGACAAAAACTGGGAAACTAATAAAAAAGAAAATATCTGTGCAAATAGCATCTTTTCAAGTTTGAGGCGATTACATTCATGGGTGTCTGTGACCCCACACCTTGACATAAATTCTAATTGTAATACAAACCTACAACTTTGCACTTACCTATTAAAGTATGTGATAACTGTACTCATGGAAGGCATCAACTGAATCTCAGGATGATTTTGCAAAAATACCCAATAACACAAAACTTTGTAAATAGAATATTCATTGAATGTGAAAAGTCTATAAGAAAAAATACAAAAATGTGGAATTAATACTTTACAACTAAAACAAAATCTTCTAGCTTGGAAATACACAATAAGTAGGATGCAAGATGTATGTACATGTATACAATGATGATGTTCACACTACTAGTACGCCCTCTAGTGTTCATTTTTACACCTTTTGTTTTTTTTAGTGTCCTTGCTGTTTACAATATTTCACAAGATAAATTAAATAGCAAAATTTATTCACCTGCTAGATTTGATAATTTTCTGTAACAGTTCTAAAGGAAGCTCACGTAATTGGATCTGAACTGAAAGCTGTGAATTAAAAGACATGAATAGATTAGATGCAATCACACTAAAAACTAATTTCCTGCAAGATCTGACACATAAATTCCATACTTATAAACTAGAGAAAAATATTTTAGTTCTCATGGCTATGACCCAATGTATGATCCTCTCCAAATATCTGACAACATATTGTTTTCACTTTAGGAAATCTTAGATGATTTCGTGGATTTATCAACGTCTAAATGCTTTCTAATTTTCTAATCTCAATAATGCTACACACTCAAGTACATGGATACTTACATGAGGAACAAGATTGAGTTCCAACCATCTTTCACATGCATTAGTAACTAAACCAACACCATACTGAAAATTTAAAATAAAATACAGGTTAGAAAACCTAAAAAATGCTGCTCTGATGAAAGAATATTACCGGTACAGATTTTTTCACAAATTCTCAGGGTGGCAAACACTTTGCGGAATTTGTTTCCCACATTTTTCGGTGGCTCATTCTTGTATGCATTTTGGGTTAATGTCTCATTAGTCTCAATACTATGAGGTTATTACGAGGATACCGAAAAGTATGCACGAAGAAAGTACAGGGGAGTATCAACCAATGCGCAGTGGAGGTATCCTCGTAATAACCTTATTATTATACATCTTTTCCTCCAAAGGATACATCATGGGAATGCCGAAATCTAAAAAGTTTAGAACAGAATCAGCGAACTTCTTTGTGTGGAATCCAGTCAAACCCTAGTGGAAGCCATGTTTGTTCTTATTATTAGAGGATGCTTACGCGCAGGATCATTCTATATTTGGAATTTGCATTTCCTAATATGGTAGGATGAAAATACCCTGTAAATTACTGCAAAATTACGACACACTGTAACTTATGGCGTTACGGTGACAGATGTATAATGATATTTATTATTTCAGTGTCAAGGGTTAGTAATACTGAACAATCAAGAAGTGTCTAAGTACATGCCAAGTATATCACATTTCCTTCACACAAAACAAATGTCCTTGTTTTTAGGGATTTATTTCAAAGGTTGTATTTTTAAGAGAATGTGCTTCACATGGCCACAGTTCAGTTTATTTTGTGAGTTACAGAAGTGCTAAGATAAAAAAGACATTGTATTGATGATAACCTAAACGCATTGGAGGACTGCCTCTATCCTCTATAACTGATGTAATATGTGAGATGTACCTTCATTGCTGAATGGTGGTATGAACATACAGAATTAGCACTGATGCTGCTCATCATTACTTCAGTACATCTGAAAAAACAATAAAAATCACAAATCTAGCAGCCATGTAATAATACCAAAATTCAATATTTCATTAAATATTCACATTTCAAGTCTTTGCACGCATCAGTTAAAAACGTGTGTCAGTTTTTTTGTATTTGCAGGTTTTTGTCAAAATCTAGAAAAAATCACAAAAAATCATAATATAACATAAATAAAATGTCAAAAAACAAAATTGTCAAGAATAGTGTTCACGGCCTTTGTTTATGTGTTCTATTATCATACATGACATGCATTGTCTTGTTACGTGTGTACTCTGGATTTGTCTTTTGTTTTCTTTTGAATTTTAAATTGTAACAATGCTCTAGTTTTAATCTTGGAAATAACATGTATTTTTTGCACAACCATTATAAACCAGGGAGCATGAAATGAATTATCTGGACAACACTTTTATTCTTTCGTCAATTGATTTTTTCTTTGCAGAACTTAAACTAGACTCAAAACGATCAATTATTTGTTTGTAACATAATTGCTATTGATCATTCCCATTATAGGGTGAGGTAGGCTTTCAGCACTCCAAAGGAATCAATTGACTATATTGATGTTGCTCCGATAGTAGTAAATGGAAGTTACAAGATTACTTGACAGTCTTACATGTCATTTTCGGTATAGTGCTTTTCTCTACACGTTACATCATCAGTATGTTACCTATATGCTAAGAATTGGCCTTTATTCATAGCACAAGCTTTACAGACAGTTTGTTCCATTATTCAGAAAGAACAGTGTAATTTATTAATAGTTTGATGCTTGTATCTTACTTTTTTTCCAACTCTGTAAACTTCAAGGCACTGGCAGCAGCAAGGACTCCAACCACATCAACATGGTCTACAATAATCTCATCATGATACAGATTACCAAGGGCAATAGCAAAAGCTGTTGAAATAAACAATACATATTACCAAGGGCAATAGCAAAAGCTGTTGAAATAAACAATACAGATTACCAAGGGCAATGGCAAAAGCTGTTGAAATAAACAATACATATTACCAAGGGCAATAACAAAAGCTGTTGAAATAAACAATACAGATTACCAAGGGCAATAGCAAAAGCTGTTGAAATAAACAATACATATTACCAAGGGCAATAGCAAAAGCTGTTGAAATAAACAATACAGATTACCAAGGGCAATGGCAAAAGCTGTTGAAATAAACAATACATATTACCAAGGGCAATAGCAAAAGCTGTTGAAATAAACAATACAGATTACGAAGGGCAATAACAAAAGCTGTTGAAATAAACAATACAGATTACCAAGGGCAATAGCAAAAGCTGTTGAAATAAACAATACAGATTACCAAGGGCAATGGCAAAAGCTGTTGAAATAAACAATACAGATTACCAAGGGCAATGGCAAAAGCTGTTGAAATAAACAATACAGATTACCAAGGGCAATGGCAAAAGCTGTTGAAATAAACAATACAGATTACCAAGGGCAATAGCAAAAGCTGTTGAAATAAACAATACAGATTACGAAGGGCAATAACAAAAGCTGTTGAAATAAACAATACAGATTACCAAGGGCAATAGCAAAAGCTGTTGAAATAAACAATACAGATTACCAAGGGCAATAACAAAAGCTGTTGAAATAAACAATACAGATTACCAAGGGCAATAACAAAAGCTGTTGACACAAACAATAGATTAGGGCAATAGCAAAAGCTGTTGAAATAAACAATACAGATTACCAAGGGCAATAACAAAAGCTGTTGAAATAAACAATACAGATTACCAAAGGCAATAACAAAAGCTGTTGAAATAAACAATACAGATTACCAAGGGCAATAACAAAAGCTGTTGAAATAAACAATACAGATTACCAAGGGCAATGGCAAAAGCTGTTGAAATAAACAATACA